ATATATACACACACACACAATTTTTCTATAATTTTACTACAATTTCGTAAATATAATGTATATCGTGTCTTCTTCTTCTTCTTCTTCGAGTTTCAATCTGAAATTCAGCTAATATCAAGTCTAATCTTCACCGAAACACCCTCAAAATTGAGATATGAACTCCAAACCATATACCCAATTGTTTGCAACATCACCCAATCCAAACAAATAATGGTTTTTGAAAACCCAAATTCGGATTCAAAGCTTCAAAGCTTTTTAGTGACTGTCAATGGTGGAATTGCTTCTCTCTTTTCCTTTGCTTTACATTACTGAAATTAGGGATTGAGAGATAGAGAGAGATGTAGAGAGAATCTCAATTCTTTGGAACAACACCCAATTCAAATAAATAATATTTTTCGAAAACCCAAATCAAATAAAGAAATATCTGAGCGCATCCATCAAATCTGAGTGTATAGGAACCACTATATGAAACTATATTACCCTTCATATGCACAAGAAGTGATATTTGAGTGCATCCATCAAATGATGGGCTTACTTTCTGTCCTGGGCTTTGGACAGTTTTGGCAAGAGGCCTTATCTGTTTCCCTTCATCCAATTTTATTTGACAATCCATTTTAGGCATTTCGTGTGAAGTGGATAATTATTTTTATACAAATAGCCAATCGGATTCACTATTTACTTTTGCCAACCAATATACATTGATTATACACCGTTATTTATATAATATAAATGAATTATACATATATCATATATCATATATTAATCGGCTATTTTTAGTTTAAGCAGTTGGGTGGATGGCTATTTAGACTAGTTCTTCTTGATAATTCATAAAGTTTGGGCCAAGAAGTTGCACTTGTCTCAGTTAGGACACCGAAGAATGCTGCAAAAAGGCCTCCGAGCCAAAATTTTGAGGAGATGGAGGGGGTGAGATCGTAGTATTTGGAATTGTGTTCTTACAGCAAAAAGACCTTTTTAAGTTTCATAAACATTTGTCATTCACGAGTTAGCATATGTAGGTGAATCGGAGGCAAAGAGCAAAAAAGATCCGACTTTAATGGAGATGGTGATTTTGTTGTCAACTTCTAGCAGATGACACAATTCAACGAACGTCAATAGCTGAGGAGCAACTTTGAACATTTTCCTAAAGAAGTTAGATCGCAAAAGCAAGTTTGAACAGGATTACTCCATTTGTCTCAATTTAATTGTTCTTTTGCTTTAATTTTTGTTTTTACTCTTTCTGGGGTCAAAACGCGAAAGAACTCTCAGATTCTGTCCTACGCTATTCTTCGTAACGCGTTAGTTTTACATTCAGAAACTGTCAGTGTAACAAATTCCTTTAACACAATTCCCAAGCAAGATTCATTTCTCAGCTTTTCTACAGCAAAACAAAAAGGACTATACGTATCTTGTTCTTTTATCCACATAACTACTACTAGTGTTATATGCTTTTACAAAACCTACAAGAAAGCATAGTATCAACACTACAAATCCAGTAGCTCTACACACAAATCTTTTTTTCTCCCTAAATGCAAGATGTCATATTGGCAAAATTGATTTAAAAAGAAACAATTAATTCAATTTGACATCAGTACTCGTCACACCATTTTCCCAATCTGTATAATCCTGTCAAAAAAGCTTGTCTCCTCCACAATTGCCAAGAAATAAAATTGGCTTCAACAACCATGGTATATTAGCAGTATGACAAAACATGTTAAGATGTGGCAGTAGTAATTCAGGAACTTATTTGGAGGGACAGCTGCTGAAGTAGAAGGTGTAATAGGCCCAGCACCAAATACTGTCGAACCACTTGAATTTGTTGTATTCAAAATGGATGCACTTGTGCTGCAGTTCCCAACATTCATCAGAAACCTCTATATGCAAATGGTTAATTTCTTAAAAGAAAAATACAATTTTATTCATTTTTAAAAAATCTCACCTTGTTGATGGATATTGACATGAACCACTACCTGCACACAACATATAACATGCAATAAACTACATAAGAAAATTAAAGAATTAGGTAGACGACCTAGTAAACATATATAGTATTAGTAATTATCGATCTGATAACTCACTGGGATCGGTGTTTGTAGTAATAGCAGCACCAGCAAAATTACAGCTATTAGGAATTGGATTTTTCTGATAGTAGCTGTTGAATGCAAAGGAAGCGTGATTGCGGAGCGTGTTGGGGTTGTAGCAGCTGCCACCAGGCTGAATGGCAGAACAATCAGAACCACCATAGCCACAAGCATAGTCTAATGCAACTTGCAATGCTGTTTGTGAGGCAGCTTGGCTAGCAACACACCAGCTCGAGCCCGATAATGAAGATCCCGGTGAATTGGTAACGGATGGAGTCATTACCGGATTGGCTGGACCGCTAGTCGTTGAATCAGGATCTGAGATTGTTGGATTCAGTACTGGGATTGTTGTAATAGGTGTGGTGGTGGTCGGAGTTCCAATTGGAACTGTTGTTATTGGAGTTGTTATGTCCTTTTGAATTCTGGAAATGGTCTTAGAATTCTGTTCTACCAATCCTATGTGTGTAGCATTTAAACCTGCAAATTCACAACAGCATTAATAGATAATTTGTGGTTTAGATTTTAATTAGATAAAGATGCAGGATAAAAGTTTAAGCTTGGAACTCTTTTAACTGCTACATTTGCAACTTAAAGGGAATTAAGATTCGTTACTCGTAATGAAAGCGACTTCCAATTTAACTTTTACCAATTAGAATGAGATTTATGTTCATATAATTATGCCTATTTTCAATATACACTTTATGCTTGCTTGATCAAAACGCAGAATTACTATGATGAACTGAAAGAAGTATTATTGAGCCGAGGGTCTATCAGAAACAACCTCTCCACCTACACAAGGCAAGGGGTAAGGTCTGTGTACACTCTACCTTCCCTAAATCCCGCCGGTAGGAATTCACTAGGTATGTTGTTGTTGTTGAAAGAAGTATTAGGATTTGTAGAGTAAGGCAAAAATTGAAATATGATTCTAAAATCTAAATGCTACTTGCTCAAAACATTTGATTTGACCAGGGAACAAAAGAGGCACTATAGGCATTCAAAATTTGAAGGCAACAGACAATAATCTGTGTTGCTTGTGCATAAAAGAAAGCTCGGTAGGGAAATGATGAGCAAAGAAAAAGATGGATGCAGAGTCAAAAAAAGATGAAATTAGTAATCATTGTCCTTTTTAAAGGGAAAGTTTCAATAGTCAATCACTCCATCTGGATAATAATTCAAACAGGGAATTCAAATTGAAACTTAACATGCAAATTCTCCTATGCTTTTATGAATTATGACTTAAACATTTGAGACACAAAAATGACTTAAACATCAATGTTCTTTAAGATATATTAATAGAAGACTCAAATGGAAATGGGCAAAAGAAATAGTACTAAAATAACATCCTAAAGCAAGCAAAGAAGTGGGAAAAGAAAAAAGAAACATAGCATCTTTTTGGCTCATAACAACAGAGAGAATAAGACGATCTGTTGCAAAAGAAACTTATGCAGCCATTATTGGACATGGATTCACGTCAATTATTATAAGAAGAAGATAAAGCTCGTTACCTGAACAGATAAAAAAACAGCCGAGTAGAATGAATACGTAAAATCTCCTGAGAATCCTCCTATTCATTGTGCCAAAGTTTCTTACTTATCTTCTTCTCTTGTTCTATCAAATTTTGCTCTTACCGTCGTTTGAAACAGAGGACAAACCATGGCATGTCAAACCAACTAACCATAATGACATTCTTGAAAGCACATGATTTTGTGTATATACAGTTACTATATACCAATTTTGAGGAGTACAATCCCTTTTTTTCTTTTGTGGAGGTGGGGGTGGTGAGAGGGAGAGATTTTAGGTGAGAGAAAGGGAGAGAGAGTTGAGTAAAGGGAAGTTGAGACATAAGGGGGTAGGAGAGGGAGCAAGAAGAAAAAGGTGCAAAAAGGGACAAGGAGTAGAAGAAAAGAAAGTTAAAGAGGGAATTGTTTGGAATTTAAGTGTGGTGTGTGGATTCAAGTAGTAATGATGATGATGATAGGTTCAATTTCTTTTTTTCTTTTTGGTGAATTGAACTTTTTTTCTATTTCATGGACCACATCTAGCAGCCAATGAATAGCCAGGCTTGGTAAAAGGCAACCAAGTGATGCTACTATGTAGTGGCGTTTGGACATAACAATTGTGAAGTTTCGAAAAGTGAAAATAGTATTTAAAATTAGAGTTGTGTTTGGATATGAATATTATTTGGAGCTGTTTTTGAATTTTTGTGAGTGATTTGAAGTGAAAAATTTTAAAAGACAACTTCTTGAAGTCTTTCAAATTCCGAAAAATTCTTAAATTCAACTTCGATGTGAAATTTGAAATTTTCATGACCAAACACTAATTCCGAAAAAAGTGAATTTTTTTTATGGCCAAACGGGCCCTTATCCTTTCACAATCTATGTCTATTACACGCTTCCAAATCTGCTCTCACCACCGTAAATTATACTGCTTGAGTCCTATTTTATGTGATGGTATTTGATTAAATATAAAGTATAAGAAAGTATAATTTTTGAAACTTATAATTTAAAACAAGTCATAGATATTTGTATTGTTATAATTTATATATCATCTCATGAAGGGTAAAAGAGAAAATTTATCTTTGCACGTCGCAGGGCATCAAAGTGTGATTTTCGTCAAATGTAGCATATTGCGCTTGAACCTGGGATCGTCAGGTTGTAATTAGCTGGTGTTTGAATCAGTAATCAGTAGGATAAAATCTCAGTAGAAGTTCTTTCCCATTTTAAAACTTCCATCACATATATTAGTAGTAGAGATAAATCAAATCATAATCACGTTAAGCATACTTCTATGTCAAAGTAGTATATTTTGGTTGGGTTGTTGACTTGTTGTAATGTTGTATGACCTCCAACTACATTACTACATGGTATAGGTACGTTACATAATTATCTAACCTTTCTATTTCTTCCCCTCCTTTAGCCAAGATGTCTTGTCAATTGTCATGTTTTTTCCTTTAAGGTAAGACTTAGGAGAAGAAAATCATAAGTATCTGTTTCTAGGCACATGGTTTCAAATAGCCATGTCCCAAAAGCATTGCACAACAGGTTCAAAGTTGGTCATATGTTACTTGTTTTTTCACCAGCTCGTACATGTCTTATATTAAAGGAAATTACTGGTGAGATCTGAACACATCTGATTACTACTGTGAGTTTTTTGTAGGGCTCTTGAATTTTTCAGTATTTGAACCCCACTGGTTCTTGCTTTCTCCCGCAATAGGCCCACTACCATGGATGCTAACCGACCATCCATAGTACAAAAACTTTTATCTATTGTTGCAATTAACCCCAAAGTTTGTTTTTGAATTTTCTCTCTGTTGTTTACTATTTTGACAATACTAAGAAGTGATATTTTAAGTTCAAACCCTATTGTAGCATCTAATTCTTGTCAGTTAAGAATTGAGTGGTAATTCATTAATATGGAGATTAAATAATAACATATTATTTAGTAGATATATTTTTATTTCTAGATGTTTAGTTTATTGAACTAAAAATTAGATATATAGGGTATATTATAAAACATACGTGTGGTTTAAACTACAAAAATTGAATAAAGTTTTATTTTTAACTTTAACCTTGTCTTTCTTATCAGACTTTGGGAGAAAAACATTGGAGAAGGGCAAACTTGTCATTTTGTTGTTTATCTCGAGATTAGTAATTGTTGGAAAACTATTTCAAAGTTGTAGTAGGAAATTTTAATTGTTTAGGATTTGGTTTATTTAATTCATATCTAAATAGGATTTGTAGTTAGAATTAAAATAGGAATATGCTTTCATGTTTCTAGATGAAATAGTTTCGTACTATTATAAATAGAGTATTAATAGCTTATTTTATGTGTGAAGATATAAGCAGATTGTAGAGATCCTTCAGGGAAATTTATAATAAAATACATTTCCTTCATATTGGTATCAGAGCTTCTACGATCTTGGGAGAGAATCAAGTAGTTTTCGCTGCCGGCGGGCGGTGCTAGCCAATGTGTGCCGCCCGTCTGGCCAAAAAATATGTTGGCAAAATCATAGATAGTTGTCAACAAAATTAGACTATTTGATGAAAAGTTTCAATACAGATTCAAGGAAAAAAAGCAAGTTTATAGAGGTACAAACAGTATGGCACAAGAGCTCTTCTCTAAAAGTTGGAGAAACATTTTAAAAAGTTGGAAATTGATTACATGCTTCTATAAAATTGATTGTTGATGAAAAGTGCATCAACAAGTGTTGAAGACAGTTGCTTCAACAAAATTGGGTGTTAATGACAAAGTGCATCAATGGTTGGTAACAAAGTACATCGGCGGGAGTTGGAGACATATGCTTCAACAAAAATCGAGTGTTAGTGACAAAGTGCATCAATGGTTGGTGACAAAGTGCATCAACGTGAGTTGGAGACATGTGCTTCAACAAAATTGGGTGTTGGTGATAAAGTGCATCAACGGTTGGTGACAAAGTGCATCAACGTGAGTTGGAGACAGGCGCTTCAACAAAATTAGGTGACGTTGGTGACAAGTGCATCAACGGTTGGTGACAAAGTGCATCAACGTGAGTTGGAGACAGGTGCTTCAACAAAATCAAGGGATGGAGACATGTGCTTCATCAAAAGTGAAATTTGGAGAGAACTGCTCCAACATAACTGCACAACAAACAAGTTAGACGTATACAACTTTGAATTACAGGAGATTGTTGGAAAACTAATTCAAAGTTGTAGTAGGAAATTTTAATTGTTTAGGATTTGATTTATTTAATTCATGTCTAAATAGAATTTGTAGTTAGAATTAAAATAGGAATATGCTTTGTTTCTAGATGAAATAGTTTCGTACTATTATAAATAGAGGTATTAATAACTTATTTTATAAGTGGAGATTTGTGAGAATTGTTGAGAACTTTCAGAGAGTTATAATAACATAGTTTTCCTTCAGTAATTTTGAAATTATTTTTCCACATATTGTATGGTATAAAAATAATCATAATTGTGCTATAAACAATCCCAGGACATATATATGCCCAACCATAAATATTTTTTTGTCAAAAGTGTTGTAGTATATCTTGTGAAAGCGAAGAATTTGAAAGATTTTATCTACAACTCCATTAGAGTTGGAAAGATGCTAAAAATGGACTTTTGCAATAATTGCGGCTTCGTTTGTGGCTTTAGTGTCACTCTTAGGAAGCATATTGTAAATTAGTGAAAAACTGCAAATTCGCAACTGCTACCACAGTAAATTAAACTATTTAAAGTTGATCACTAGTATCTTCCCCGTATCCTAGCCTAAATAGGCACTTTTGACCAATTAATTTCAAAGTTCTTAGGTCCATGTATAAAATTTTATAATTTTAGGCTCCTTTTATAAACTGCAAGTAAAGTGAGTTCTTGGGTTGTTTCCTTTGCGTTAGTGACAATTGTATAATCATTAATAATTGCGCCGTTTCTACCACCTTCTCCTATTTCTCACAATTGAATATGTGTAGGCAAATATTTCGAGGTTTGGGCCAAAGGATAAAAGGTGAATTTATCAAAGCTGTCCATGAAAACTTTTATGGTTCTGAAGGTCAATGCTAAATTGCTAATGCGACTAATATGGTCACTGTTTGGCTCTCTGTCTAAGTTGTGACAGCAGGCCATCAGTGGGGCACGTAGAATTTGTTGTAAGCAGTATCAATATTTGTGTAGTTTTTCAAACATAGGATCTTATGCCTGCTTCAATAATTTCATTCCAGAATAATCTCAAGCAGACCTTTAATGATCACTACTAGAATTCCTGTAAAAAGCGACCAAAGATTAGCGACCAAATTTGGTCTGTCAAGAAAAGCGGTCAAAGTTAGTCGCCAAACTGCCGAAAATAATAAAAAAAATATTTGAAATACTTTAGCGACCGAAGTTGGTCGCTATTTGGTCGCAAATTTAGTCAAACTGTTGACTGGACTGGTCAGACTTGCTTGGTCAAAGATATACTGAGATTAGCGACCAATGTTGGTCGCTAAAGTGGGACCCACATAAAATTTTTAATAATTTTATTATTATTTATAAAACTTATAAAATATAAATATATATAATTTAAAACTTGCGACCAAAGTTGGTCGCTAACTGAAGGATAAGTTGATAGCAACCAACATTGGTCGCTAATATGGGACCCAGTTATAATATTTTAATAAATATATATTTATTTAAAAAAATTATAAAATATAAATAAATATAATTCAAAAGTTAGCGACCAAAGTTGGTCGCTTAATGAAATAGAGACCAACGTTGGTCGCCAAGTTGGGACCCAGTTCTAACATTTAATAATTTTTATTATTAATTTAAATATTATAAAAAATATAAATAAATCTGATTAAAATTTAGTGACCAAATTTGGTCGCTAAATTAAATTCATGTACAGTTAGTGACCAACTTTTGTCGCTAAATTAAATTCATTTACAGTTAGCGACCAAAGTTGGTCTCTATATGGTCAAAATTAAAAATCACTTTTGTATTTACTATTAATATATGTACTTACGCTATACTATGCACTAAGTATAAGTGTATTAGGTAATACTATATCGAAGCGGGCGTATGTGTCTATATATATATATATATATATATACTTACGCTATATTATGCACTAAGTATAAGTGTATTAGGTAATACCGTATCGAATATAGCTTATATATATATATAATATATGTACTTGCGCTATACTATGCACTAAGTATAAGTGTANTATGAATTGGAATTTAGGATATGACTTGAAATTTTAGGATATGAATTGAACCTTAGGATATGACTTGAACTTTAGGATATGAATTGGAATTTTAGTTATGAATTTATTGAACTTTAGGATATGAATTGGGATTTTAGTTATGAATTGGAATTTTAGGATATGACTTGAAATTTTAGGATATGACTTGAACCTTTAGGATATGACTAGAA